ATAAGTCTCAAACCCTAGAAATTAGGGTTTCATTACACAGCGCTGACTCACCGAGTCCATATCCTGGACTCGTCGAGTCCAGGCGCGATCCTGCGTCCAAATCCGCATCCCTACTCGGCGAGTCTGAGCTCTAACTCGCCGAGTCCCCCCTCACAAAACATCAAAATACAATAAACAAGATACCTGATAAAATCCGGCTGTTACATGTAGCTAGCAATTTAGGTGTGGGATTGTCATTCCTGATAGATCTATTCACAAATCTCACACTCTCCATCGAGGATACTCTGGTTACACTAAGGATAGAATTTAGCATGCATCCTAGAGGGTACAAATAAAGTGATGTCTCACAACCCTGTATTAATTAGTTTAGGTGTAGTTCTATATTATTCTATTGTATTTGAATCTGTTTGTAAACCTTGAAGAGTAATAATTATACTTAAATAATTATTTAGGAATCCATTCTTGTTATCTAAGAATATCATTAAATATCATAAACTAAGTCTATTATAGTTTATATGCTTGTAAATGTAAAACTGTGTATGGAAATCCCAAACTATAACGATTGTAGTTGGCATGCATGTTATGTACTTGATTTGTGTGTTGATCTAAAAATTATGCAATTATGCTTGTAAGATGAAAATTTCCCTTATGCTCAACATGTTAGAAAAAGGGATAAAATATCTCAAATGCTTTATAAAAACATTCAATCTTTTAGTTGTATCAATTGCATAATTCTTAATCTTACAGAAGTTTTGTGTATAATGTTCACAAAAACTATTTGCATTTGGCTTGTATTCCCTCCCTTAAAACGTTAAAGTAATAAAAGTGTAGGGGTATGAACTCACTGATGATTGCGTGAATGTGCTGGACAACGAGACTGGAATTGAGGACCCTCGAGTTGTACACGAAGTTAACGGAATCCTAAAAATAATTAAACACATATTTGTATCTAAAATTAGCGATTTCATTAGATAATGTGCTATAAAAAAACTTGCTTATGATTAAGGAATGTTACCGAGTCTCGGTCGAAGTGGAAAAGTGAGTTTACAGCCAACATTCACGGTGTAGGGCTGATTACGGCTATGAACTGTTCTCAACCGTGAACTATTCTCGGTCGGGAATAGTTTACTACCTTTGAAGGGTTTACGGTCTTTGAAGGTTTCAAGGGTTCACGACCTGGTCTTGGTGAATATGAAGATTTGAAGGGTTCACAACCGTGAACTCAAGAACATCACCATTTGAATCGCCGAAAAAGCTGGTGTTTGATGCCCCAAAACGTGTTTTAAAGTGGATGGAGTGATAGATGAAGAGAAAACTTGAGAAATCTTAGGTTTTTGGGTGAGGGTTTTTAGAGAGAGAAAGTGTGTTTGCTGCCAGAAAATGATAAATAAGGGTAGGAGTCATGTATTTATAGTTTGGGGGTATGGTCGGTTGTGGTATCCACCAACCATGAATGTGTTCACGGCCATGATCGGGTTTACGGCCGTGATCAGGTTCACGGCTGTGAACACCGGTCAGACCGGATTTGTTGATTTTTCGAGGGACTCGGGTTTTGTGCGATTTTGGTTCCGACTCATATATATATAAAATTCAATTATATAACTTAAAAGATTTTCCAAACCATAAGGATTTGATGAAACTAAATAAAAATAAAAAATTTATTAACGTTAACGGAAAAAGGGTCAGCTTGTCACATCTCGTCTCTATCCGATGCTCCCTCCACCATCGATATTGTAAACCATCGAGAGTCGAGCATCACCACCGCGGTCATCTACCAACGATGAAATGAAGTGCTGATTGACGACGAGCTGAGGGTTGCTGGAAGATGGAAGCTCGTGGCCATCGTTCCTCCCTCCAGTAAAGGCACCCCCACCCTCTCCATTTCCTCTTTTGTGGTGTTGTCTCGCGCCGCCGCCGCTCCGATCGATGGCCTAATTAATCTGGCTAGCATATACCACTGAAAATGAATGGTTGTGTGGTGTATGCTCCATGTGTGCGTAGCTTCTGCAGCTATCTCTCTCTCTCTCTCTCTCTCTCTCTCTCTCTCTCTCTTCTCCCTTCTTTTTGAAGGTTGTAGCTTTCTGACCACCATCACCGCAATGTGGTTACCATCATAAACCACTACATGCTTCCATAAAATTATCGATATGTTGCGTTTTTCGTGTTTAACTCGGGTTGTGTGTGTTATGCAGTGTTTCTATAAGATGAGAGGTGTATGTGAGTGGCTTTATTTGTCTGGAAAAGCCACCACCACCATCGTGAGGTGGTAGTTACCACCATTAACCACTGTCGGCCACCACTAGGGTGGTTGAGTGTGTATGTGTTTAGCTTAGTGTATGTGTCTATTATTGGAATTTTGCATTGTATGTTGTAATTTGTAACGATATAATCAAAGAAAAACTTAAACCACCACCGTGAAGGGGTGGCTAATGCCTCCTGCTGTCACCAACCGCCGTGTTGGATGACGGTGTGCTTTTGCTTGCATTTAGTTGCTTTTTGGATGCTTGAAAAAAAATGAACTAGGAGCCATAACTACTACCGTGAGGTGGTGGCAGCCGCCGTGAGCCGCCGTTGACCACGACTACCTCAGGTGGTAGTGGGTGGTGCCTAACTAGTGAAACCCTAATAAGACTAATGAAAACCTAATGGATCTAAGGTTCTTCCTTTGGGGCCTATTGGGTTGGGATTGGGTTGGAAACCCTAATTAGGGTTTAGAAAAACCCTAATTTTGGAATTATAGGCTTGGACTTCTCGGGACCCGCTTTTTGGGCCACTGGAATTGGATTATGTATTAAACCCGACCAAACCATATGAATTTTCGAGTAGAGTCATAGATTTAATGGATTATGTCCTTAATGGGTTAAGTGAGAAACACTTAACCATAATCATCATTTTATGTGAAAACCCTAGTTTGACTTAGACCTTAAGTTGGGCCTTTCTATTGGAGTTTGGTGATTAGGATACTGATGGGTCATCAAAGAACAATTATACATACTAGAATATTTTGATGGGCTTTAGGGTAAGGCACATGTGAGGGGCTTTGGCCTAATTTGGAAAATTAGGTCATAAATGGGCCGTAATTCGGCCTTTATGATTATGAGATATTGGGGCATTAGAAATGCAAAATGCTTTGGACTTGACTAAATGGTTGGGCCTTTGGTAAGACCATGTAAAGGTTTGGGCCCAATTTGGAAAATTAGGCTATATATGTTGGGCTTTGATTCATAGTTTGACCTTTCAGCCTTTGGATTGGGCCTTAAGTTTGAATCAAGCTAAGATGGGAATAAAGTAGTCTTTTACCCCAAGCATGGACTTATGGATATGTATTTGAATCCTACTATTAATTGGGTATTGTTTTGATGTTGATAGTTCGGGAATCTGTCATCCAACAGTCTGGGAATTACCGGTTAGCAATCAATGGAGTATCAGGAGGACTTCAACAGTGCAGGGTGAGTCTCCTCACTGTTTGTATGCGTCTAAGTGTAACAACTCGTTATTTCAAATCAATGTATTACTACAGATTTTCTTGTAACTAGTTCTTTTTAAAGTAATAAAGAGAAATTTTTTGTATACTATATGCATTTACATATTGACCCACAAAAATAAAAAATTAAAAAAACTTGCCTGGGATAAACATAGTGGTAGAAATCGTGTCAAGGATTCCAAAAATATAAAGAACGTCCAATTCCGAGTTATAACGAAGAAGTTATGACCTATCGAAAATTCGCGACAAAACCGGCAAAACATTCTAAATGAAAGTCCAATTGAGTTTTCAATAAATTCCTTTCTAGCCTTAACTATCTAAATGAAAGTTGTAGAATACGTTAACCTGTGAATGTCTGTAAAAAAAAACGTCGAAATCTAACTTCATATGAAGAAGTGATTTTTTTAAGAATCGACATAACAGTACACAACCCGAAATTTGAAATAAAAATCGAACAATATTTAGCCGACACAACCTAAACGAGAATCGCAAGTCTCGTCAAATATAATACAACGGTAAAAAGACAGATGGAAACGGACTTCGGATAAAGAAGTTATGAATTTTTAACGGATTTTCCTGTCTCGATATGCTAAAACCAATAATATTAGAAAATAAATTCAAAAGTAGCCGATGAAGTCTATATGGGAGTTGTAGATTATATTTTCACCTACGCGTGCATATAAAGAACGTTAAAAACGGAGCTCGCATGCGAAAGTTATGAATTTCAGAAGTTTTTGGCTCAAAAAATGAGAAATAATTGAAAACCGGGAAAATTCGCATGAACAGTAACCGCCACGTCACCTCGCACCCGCATCCACCTAATGTCCACCTCGTGTTAGCCACTGATTCATCCGAAGCCGAGGTCCAATGGGAGACCGACGCGCCTCGCACCGGTGCACTTCCGAGCTCGCACGCGTGTGCAGCCCCCTGTCTGACGCGTGCCCCCTTCGCGCGCATGCAATCCGACGCTTGGACTCCCCCTCTCTTCTGATCCAAATCCTATTGCCCCTATATAAAGGGTACGAGATTTCCCAGTTTTGGCATAACTTTCACACTTTTTCACACTTTCTACGCCCACAAACTTATTTACAACCCGCTCCACCCCGAGCCACGGTATCATATTCAACACTTAAAACACTTCCCGAGATGCAAGAAGTCAACAAAAATAGAGTCTTTCAGTTTGCAAATACGAACCCTCGCAAGGCCAAATTTTCAGAAATAAAGCCTTTTTAGCAACGAAGTGCTACTCAATTCTTCACGACTATCAAGTGAGTTTATACCCCTATATATTCACTATTTTAATAATGTTTTTATTGGGAAAATACCAGTAAAATACGAAGATTTCTCGTATAAATAACACATTTTTATTATCTAGTTTGTGATTATTATAAACAAACTATTTTACCGGTTTGGAATTTATTATAACAATAAACATATAAATTATAATATGTGTAATTTATAATTCATACATAATTATCAACTACAAAGGTGACCCGCGTTGCGGGGGTCGGAAGGTGTCGCTTTTGTGTGGAAGTATAGTACATTGTTCTAATTGGTAGATTAGTAAAGTATGTTGCTATTGTGTATATTTCGCCCATTTACAAACACACAAATATTTGCACTATGCTATAATAGAATGACCCCTTTTTTGTAATCAAAGTTGTTGTCTGGTTATGTGAGGCATATAATCAGACCAAGGCCACCATTCCCAACTCAAGAGCTTACATCCTTCAATATCAACCCATTTGCCTGATTAGAAAGACACTCAATAAATTTAGCAACTGAATATGTCAAATCTTCAGCTGGTCTTATAAGTAATTGCACCTCCTAACTTAGTGAACCTACATTTTCTAAATTAAATCAAGCAATAAATTTGCAATAGTTAATTCATAACCCGAAAAAAAAAACAAATGTTCCTAACCTTATTTGAATTGGGAATAAAAATTATTTTGTCATTAACGGTTATTGACTTTAACCAACCTGGAGTAAATAATGACAACTGCAATGCAAATCAAGAGTGTAATCAAATAACTATTTTAAATTTGCAAACACCTTTAGCATCAAAATACCCATCAACTAACACACACACACAAAAAATACAATAATTTCAAGATGAATCAACAGCCATTTCATTGTCACCTTTTTCCAATTCCATTCCCATAACACCATCCTTCTCATTCTTCTCCACTTTCTCAATCTTTAATCTCTACCACATAAGTTCATTCAATATTAGTGTTTGACTTTCACTGATGTCATTGAAAAAAAAAGTATTTTATAAAAAGGAAAATAAAATAAACTGAAAAAAGAAGAAAATCAAAACCTTAGTTTGTATAGAATAATCGTTAGCCATTTGGGCAAACATATTTGTATAAAGTTTAGTATCTCTTTTGTTACTCTGAGCTTCAAGTTGCTTTAAAGTCTTGTGAATAGAATTTACCTCCCTACAAAATAACAAAACCAAAATAAAATTACAGAGGTTTAATAAAATGACCAAAATGACCTCCAAATTTTATAGTTTTACTTGATTTGTGGATCGGCTTCCAAGGCCTTCTTGATGTCCAATTCAGTCAATTCATAATCATAAGTTTCCATGTAAGCTTGTGCCCTTCTGTATAAAGCTTTCACATTGTAAAACTCAACATCCAACACCTGTTGGAAACAACCTTGTATAATGGTTTAAAACTTGGGATTTTTTAAAAAAAGTATAATGGTTTTATGATTGATTACCTTTGAACATAAGATGATTGCATTTTTTGTTATCATCTCTAATCTGTTTGTAGTTTTTTTAAGTTGAAATTTTGTTTTCATTTTTCATTGGTCTGATCTCAATCATCGAAAACCTGGATATATGGTTTATTTTTCTACCCCTCTCTGTACATATCACATGCATTTTGACTTTGTATATGTTGTTCCCAAATTACCCCTGGATGGATAAGTTGTTGCTGTTATCCCTACGTTTTCTGTTTTTGTTTCGATTTGAATAGATCGACACGTTTGTTATCCTTATTTTCTTATAATTTCGTATAATTTCCATCTATATGTAATTTCCTTTATCTGTCCCACTAAAAATGATAAATTATCTTTTTTATTGCAGCTAAAGATTAATAAAATAAAATAGTACTTAAAATCCAGACCTATATGAACTTTGGAAGTGGAATGCCATGTCGAGAAAAATGAACTTTTTGAAGAAATTTATCATGTGACAAACAACTTTCACTATGATCATTGTGTTACCATAATCCAACATTAAACATTATTTAAAGGGGCGGTATTGGAAATATTTAACAAAACAAATTACAATGCTTTATTGATAAAACAAACATACCTGGATAATGCGAATGGTAGAAGCTTTAGGCTGACAATCAACACCTTGTTTTTCAAGCTTCTCCAAAGTATCAACATCAACATGCTCAATTTCATCTGTTAGTATTCCACACCTATGTAGAAATCTTGAGTTAGATTGGGACACGTTGACCAAAATAGGATCGCTAATTGTGACTTTAACCTCTTAGCAAATTCTTCAACTGTGGTGCTATTGTCATAGCTTCCCACCATATGATGGTGGTATATGGAACTTGCTGGGCAGTTGACCATAGGATCCAAAATGTTGACTTTTATTGACATTTGGAAAGCTGCTTAACAAAGCATGCGTCCTAATTGTCCTCCACCTAAAACAGCCACAACTATTTCAAAAACTCCATGAGCTGGTTCATTCTCCTTCCTACATTTTTAAAACTTAAACAGAGATTAGAAAATAGAAATCCTACATTCATTAAAGTATATATAAAAAGTGTTGTATAAGTTATAACCTTTGTGAAACATCAGTTCAAAGATATGCTAACTGAATTCACCTTATGTAAGCTGTTAGGCCATTGAATCGGGACATGATAACCTTGAGGCGCAGGGATAAAGCACAACGATGTCTCATACGGCGACGAATAATGCCTTTCTAATGAATATGAGTCATGTTTATTTATCACAATGAGATTTAGAATCAGTAATACTCTTTGTGCCATGGTAAATCTGGCACAAAGCTCATAATAACAAAAAATGAATTATTGAATAATCATACAATTCTCAGTGAAGTTATAGAGTAATAACCTGGAGTGTAATAGTTTGGAGTGGATTAGAGAAGCATCTAAACAAAAATATTCAACAATTTCAACATGTAGCAATTAAGAAATATAAAATGATGGACAATTGTAGTTCTAAGGTTTGCGATACCTTTGCTTCATTTGCATCTCATTCTACTCATCAATCAATGTAGAAATGTTGAGTTAGATTGAGACACGTTGACCAAAATAGGATCGCTAATTTTGACTTTAACCTCTTAGCAAATTCTTCAACTGTGGTGCTATTGTCATAGCTTCCCACCATATGATGGTGGTATATGGAACTTGTAGGGCAGTTGACCATAGGATCCAAAATGTTGACTTTTATTGACATTTGGGAAGCTACTTAACAAAGCATGCATCCTAATTGTGGTCCACCTAAAACACTCACAATTGTTTCAGAAACTCCATGAGCTGGTTCATTCTCCTTCCTACATTTTTGAAACTTAAACAGAGATTAGAAAATAGAAATCCTACATTCATTAATGTATATATAAAAAGTGTTGTATAAGTTATAACCTTTGTGAAACATCAGTTCAGAGATATGCTAACTGAATTCATCTTATGTAAGCTGCTGGGCCATTGAATCGGGACATGATAACCTTGAGGCGCAGGGATAAAGCACAACGATGTCTCATCCGGCGACGGATAATGCCTTTCTAATGAATGTAAGTCATGTTTATTTATCACAATGAGATTTAGAATCAGTAATACTCTTTGTGCCATGGTAAATCTGGCACAAAGCTCATAATCACAAAAAATGAATTATTGAATAATCATACAATTCTTAGTGAAGTTAAAGAGTAATAACCTGGAGTGTAATAGTTTGGAGTGGATTGGAGAAGCATCTGAACAAAAATATTCAACAATTTCAACATGTAGCAATTAAGAAATATAAAATGATGGACAATTGTAGTTCTAAGGTTTGCGATACCTTTGCTTCATTTGCATCTCAATCTACTCATCAATCAATGTTGGAACATGTTTACTGATAGTGAGAGTTTGAGATACACCTTCTAGGGTTTTGAAGCTTATATAATCTTCCGTATTCTTTATGATTTCGTTGTTTGTTAATGCAACAGGGGTAGAGGTAGTGGGTTCGACGTGTATGACCTTGGCATGTAGAATCCGCATCTTCGATTTTGCCATGATGAATCTGTTTTTTGTTGAAATTTAAATGTGGGATTTATTTGATCAATCATTGGAGTATAAATGCAGGTTCCCTAATTTAAAAAAAAACAAAAAAAAAAAAAACAAAGCTGATTAGTTTGAAGGATGACAAAAAGAAGGAAACAGTGAGATGAACCATAGACAACAGTACCTATAAACAGGAAATCCTAACTGAATTGAAAAAGGATAGAGCTGAACTGAGTAACCATTTTGATGTTGCCGGAGGTCAGGAGAAAATTAGGAACCGTGAATATTTGAATGTTAGGAGTGAATATCAGAATCTTTTGCTGGTCAAGTCAACTAAATTGGATTTTAGTATCATAGACCACAAAGAAAACAACAATCCTAAATTAAAAACCTAAATGAATAACTGCGAACTCAAATCGATTTATGGTAATAAAAACTATATCTGATTTGTACCTGATCATTGCTGCAACGACTTCGACCACGACTTCGTCCAGAGAGTGGTGGTGGAAGCCCTCTTCTTCAAAGTGGAAGCCCCCCACTGGCAACGGACCCTGGCCGTGAACAAAACCCCCAACCCCAATCGCGGCTTCGTGGAACACACGTAGAAGTATCGACCCGTGAAGGTGGTGGAGTTTGAGCTGCCATGTCAGCAGTGCATGGTGTACCTTGACCTGAAAAGGGAACAAAGCAAGAAACCCTATGTTTCTTTGTTTGAAACCTTGGTAGGTCTGTTAGAATCAGTTGCCTCATCTGTATCGTGTTTGTTGGAATCACTTACCTCATCTATATGGTCCCGTCTGTACATTGGAGAAGAAAAACAAAAGCAACGATCAACATAAATTTGAAGGTGATGAGTTTAGACGAAGATTGAGAGTTTTCGAAAAGCAGTGAAATCCGATATGGTTGGATGAGAAAGCGGGTGGGGGGAAGATAAGGCAGAACTACCAGAACTGCAGAACCAGCAGGGGAGACGCCGGAACGACACGTATCGGCCTCATCCTTATCTTTACACCTCTATTAATAATTTAAGGGACCAAATTGCCGATATACCAAACTTTAGTGCCAAAAATCTGAACCACTGAAAATATGAAAACTTTTGGGTTATTTTTGCCAAAAAATCAGGATGTTCACTATTCCTAAAAACTATCCTCCTTTAATATATATATATATATATATATATATATATATATATATATATATATAAGAATACACTTTATGGAACTACATATGCTTTCTAAATATTCATAATAACTTATGAAAATAACTATATAAATTATATTTAATATACTTTATGAGATATTTACAATGTATCAATTTCAAAGATATTTCATTATTCTACACATAATTCTTAATATAGCTTTTGTGAGACGCACTTCAAGTACTCATTTAAGTATAAAACAAGAGTCCTGAAAGTTATAACCAGAGTCTCCTAGAGGGAGAGCGTGACACTTCTGTACAGATCTATACGAGACTGACTATCCCACATTCCGACTATTAGCTATAATCAAGTCAGCAGAGTTGGGATGACAATTGTTGTACCATATTACAACGTCTAAAGAACGTTGTGTTTCAGGGAAGGCTGATATCATCAAGCATGGTTATGATAACTAACAAATTGTTATTGAATAAAATACTATAAGAATAAGTAAGAAACTTCGTAAAGTTTTAATAAATTAAAACTATAATACATTAATTACAAATACATACAAGTACAAACATGGAATACTATTCTAGTACAAAGAAAACATACTTTTATAGTTTTATGGGGATTTAAAACTATACTATTTCGGAATTCAAATACATATACAATAGAAAATATAGGATTTTCTAGGTGAATATATTTACATTTCCTTAAACAAATGACATAATTTTTTCATTTCATACTTATGAACTCACTAACTTAATTGTTGACACTCTTTTCAAAAGTTCTTGTATTTTCAGGAAATCATTAAACAAGTATCCGCTAGTTTTGAGGAAGACACAATTTATATTATTATGTATGTAAATTATGCTTTTTGGTGTCAAATATACAATCATTTGAACACATATGTAAAGTTATATTTTATGAATGTAACGAGTGTTGTACTTTGATTACGATTATTCATTGTTGTGATACTATAAATGATGTCCTCCGCCCCCGAACATTTCTTCCGTTCACGTTTAGGGGTGTGACAGATTGGGGCTGAGCTCTCTGACTACCAGTATACTCTTAACATTTTAAGTATTTTATAAAGAAGTATACTAACATACATATATACAAGAAAGAATGATACAAAAGTATTTGGATATTCAACATTATAGTTAAACCTGGACAATTATGTAATCATATATGGCATCAATATAGCCTGATCAAATATATTTATTTAAGATATGACCATCATGTGTTTGGGAGTAATGGTAGTATTGCAACAAGTCTAAAAACTTACCAAACAAAAAAACTCCAAAATAAAATACTATAGGAGTATTTTACTATTATTATCCTTACTTCAAGTATATACAATATGGATTAATACAATTTACCTGGATATCCCTACAACAACCAAGATGCAGGTTGGAATAGGGGTTCAGATGAAGAACCATTTGAAGATAGTGATTCAAGTGGTACATACACTGAGCCAAGTGTCTACAATCCACTACAAGCTGGACAACATCCTGTGAGACAAGGTTTAGCAGGACCTATACCAGAATGGGGTGAGTATATAAACCACTGGAGTTAGCAAGATGGCCAACACCCTCCTTATGGAATCGAAAGAGACTTTTGTTACGTCTCTAGAGGAGGAACAACCAATAGAGTACTTTTGGTCATAGTACACCTTATAGCTCGTCAGTCCGATCAAGCAAGGATTTCGATCAACCGAATCCTACAAGTAGATGTTGTTGTGCACGTTAACACTACAGATATCCTTCATCTTGATGAACTTCAAGATGACACCAAAAATCATACTGAAGCCCTTTAAAGGCAAGTCAATGTGGCTAAATCTGAATTAAGAGAATTGAAGGAGCATCAAGCTGCACAAGAAAAGCGCTGGAAAGTACAAGAAGCAGAATCCAACAACCGGTGTAGTACTCGTCACAAGTAGTGTTTACGTTACTTCTACTTTCTATTTTAAATATAAGTTAAAATATCGAATTTATATACTACTTTTACTATATCATACGATTAAGTGAATAATCTACTCGTAGGTAGTAATGTTGTCTAATTTTCCTTTTTGATAATATAATATAGACCTATATCTAGGTCGAATTCTCCCAACTTCATGTATAATATAAAGCGTTTTACTCTATTAAGAATTATCATAATTTTCATAACTGTTTTCATGAATCTTGGTTATAGATTTAAAATAGACTCATTATGTTCAAATTAATTACAAATGTTGCTAAAATAACACTATATCAGTCAAGAATTAATGCAATTACAAATTTAGATGTCTTATACTATTTCACCTAACTTGGGATATTGTATTTATCATCATTTTTCTTAAAATGTTATTGATAAAAGATGCCTCCAAGAAAATGCAATAGAAAGAACAATGATCCGCCAAATCCTCCACTGTCGCGGCCTCTACAATATGATGTTGTTGTCTTTCAAGCAGAAGTAGCCGCTGCTATTGCAGCAACAATAACTCAGATCAATGCCAGTGGCAACAATGAGGCAGGTAATGGTGCCCATCATTCTAATCATGGGGATTATCATGATCATCCAAAGGAATGTTCATACAAGGCTTTCACCAATGGTAAACCTCGATCCTTTGATGGTAGAGGAGGTGTCGTTTTTTTAACTCGGTGGTTTGAGAAAATCGAATCAATATTCGAAATTTGCACATGCCCTAAGGCTAGCAAAGTGAAATTTGCAGCATGCACTTTTACAGATAAAGCGCTCACTTGGTGGAATAGCCAAGTCAAATCCATGACTCTTCCAATAGCCAACAATATGGGTTGGAAGGATTTGAAAGAATTAATGCTAGCTAAATATTGTCCGAGGGGTGAAATGAAAAAACTAGAACATGAACTCTGGGGTCTAAAGATGAAAGCATCTGATATCATTGCTTACACTGCTAGGTTTAGTGACCTGACTCTACTATCTTCCCGGATGGTCACCCCGGAGAGCAAGAAGGTTTAAAGATATATATGGGGATTAACTCCCTTACTCAAGGGAATGTTTTAGCTGCCAATCCCTTTACCTTGGGTACTGCTAAACGTTTGCAACATACATTAATAGATCATGGAGTTATTCAAGATTCCACACCAGCTGTTCCTGAAAACCCCAAAGAACAAGGCAGTAAAAAGAAATTCTGGAATAAACGAAAGGGGTAATCAACACAGGAGCCATCTAAGAAGCAACAAATTGTGGCAGTGCACACTGCTATTATTCCAACTACCACTCCTACTCCTATATCTACCACAATTTCTACTACTCCAACAACCCCGAGTCGATATGCTGGAACTTTTCCAAAGTGCGATAAATAAAACTTTCATCACACGGGATTTTGCAAGGAAATGCACTGCAAAAATTGCAATAAGAAGGGGCATACTGCCCGCTTTTATAAAGCAACGGCACAACCAATATCTCAAGTCCCCGCCACAGGAGTTAGTCTAGCTTGTTACGAGTGTGGCGAAATCCGGCATTTCAAGAGAAACTTCCCAAAGATGAAGAATGTTGGGAGTACAGGAAGGGTTTTAGCAATTGGTCACAAAGAAGCGATGGCAAATCCTACCGTGGTGACCAGTACGTTTCATCTCAATAATTCTTACGTGGTGACCAGTACGTTTCTTCTCAATAATTCTTACGCATGCATTCTTTTTGAACTGGTACGGAGATACGTTTTATGAGCCATGAATTTAAACACCTACTAAAACAAAATCCCTAATCCTTAAAAGACACGTTCACTATAGAGATGGCTAATGGCAAGACTGAGAGCACAAACGATATACACATAGGGTGTACACTTACTTTAAACAACTATTCCTTCAAAATAGATCTTATGCTAGTCTCCATAAAAAGCTTTGACATCATTATCAACATGGACTTGTTAAGTCCTCATCATGCCGATATTCTATGTTTTGAAAAGTCCATTCACCTCATCTTACCAAATGGTGAATCCCGTGTTATCTATGGCGACCAACCTAGTGCAAGTCTTCAAATCATTTCTTGCATCAAGGCCAAGAAGTATCTTTGAAAAAATTACTATGCCTTCTTAGCTCACATAGTCGATAAAACAAAAGCAGTGAAGAACAACAAGGATATTCCTGAAGTCCGCGATTTCCATGATGTATTTCTTGAAGATCTCTTAGGAGTTCCTCTTGAACGCCAAGTCGAATTTCGAATCAACTTAATCCTTGGAGCTACCCCTATAGCTAAATCTCCATATCTTCTTGCACCTTCAGAAAAGCAGGAACTATCCTATCAATTGAACGAACTTCTCAATAAGGGCTTTATAAGACCAAGCTTTTCACCCTGGGGGGCACCTGTCTTAAACAAACTTACCATTAAAAACAGGTATGTACTTGACCCGACCTAACATGGTCCATTTGGGTTGCATGACATCATGCTTTTGGATAGAGTAAATGAGAGAAATAAGACACTTATGGTTTAATAATATCTTATAAGTTCTAATATATTAATAATAAGAAGAATAATATTTAGTTAGTATTGATCAATAATTCATTTAGAATTAATTATGTGATCAAAAAAAAGACTAATTAAATATATGGGTTGATTGTGTCAATCATCCATAACTTATATAGTGGGCCAAAGCTCCATGGATTCTCAAGTTGGGTTAAACCCATAAGATGCTCCATGGATGC